AGATTTCATCTGAACAAAGAGCAGAGTCCCATGGCTTAAAAGTAAGTCTTCAAAATCCCACTGTACTTGATAACTTCTATGTCATTTAGTTTCCAATTTTGGAGATATATTCTTTGTTTTTTTAACCAAAACAAAAAGTAAGTCTTTACCAGGAATAAATCATTTTTAACCAAAGAAGAAATCAGGGTAAAAACATTTCTTGGGGAAGAGATGAAACTGCAGGGGTTATTTACAGAGCGGGCAGTGACTCACCACCTTGAACTCTGGCACTGCATGGCATTAATATTCAACAGGACTCTTGTTAAAGGAACAGACATAATAGCACACTTCTCTGTCTTGTCTTATTATCTAAATGTCAATGGTACACATTGAAAACACTACACACAAAAAAACTCAATTCAATGGAGCGATTTAAAAAACTAACTTTATTTGTATTTGTTTTAAAAACAGAACTTGTTATAGGTCATCACAAAGCTTCCAAAAAGAAAAATTACATTCTGCTTTTGTCACCTTGAGAAGACAAGGAATGTTTAAATGTCCTTAAAACACAGGGGAGTTAGAGTTGACAAATAACAAACTACTATGAACTATGGATTCTCACTCCAAACACACTAAAATATGGAATACACGTACACAAATTACTGACCAGTTTTTTGCAATACAAAGAGTATGCACTACAGCTTATAGGACCATAAAGATAACATGCCCCAAATATAACAGATCACAAACACATTCAGAGAAAATAATAACTTCAACTCTTGGGTTCAATTAAGATTGAAGCGAAATTATTGGGAAAGTTTTCTGAAACTTGAAGGACACATACATTATAGCAGAACTGTCCATGAATACTCATGTGGGGTTGAAAAGCAGTATGAAGAATATGGCACATTTACAGGGATAGCCCCTTTCTCTCTCCTCAGTCCCCAGCCTGAGTTAGGAAAATTGGGAACTCAACAGAAAACAATATTAAAAAAACACATATTATCTGCATAGATAGAAATCTTCCATTATGATGGGCATGAACATTCAGTCAGTCAAAGCTATGCAGGAGTGCCAACACTTTGCAGGATATGATTCTGTTTCAAAAGGAAATACAGATTTCCGTCAAAATGACAAACCACATAACGAATTTAGGGAAAGACCTTTAAACTGTTACTGAAGTGCGTAGAGACACTGACTCAGCCCCAGGTTAGTTATTCTTAACCTTGGCTAAAAACTCTACTTCGAACATGATGATTTTTATGATCTTTGTCAGTGAACCCAGCGGCTGTTGCTTTCAGTTGTCTTTTTGATTGTACATTTGGTCATAAGAAAAGTCTCCAAATGATTCACATTTTCCCGATTCACAATTAACAACAGCATTCTGACGAAGATGTTCGGGCTTATCCATACACCGAGGGAAGTTTAAAAGACAAAGAAGTATTTAGTGAATTGTAGGACGACATTCATCAATCTTATTCTTAAAATTTTTTTAACTTTTTAAATAGTGGGTTTCTGTAACATGGACTTAATGTCCCAGCTAGGAAGCAACTATTTCCCCTTTTTTTTTTCTTTTTTTTTTTGAGATGGAGTCTCGCTCTGTCACCCAGGCTGGAGTGCAATGGCATGATCTCAGCTCACTACCACCTCTGCCTCCCAGGTTCGAGTGATTCTCTTGCTTCAGCCTCCTGAGTAGCTGGGATTCTAGGCATGTGCCATCATGCCCGGCTAATTTTTGTATTTTTTTTAGTAGGACAGGGTTTCCCCACATTAGTTAGGCTGGTCTCGAACTCCTGACTTCATAATCCACCCACCTCAGCCTTCTAAAGTGCTGGGATTACAGGTGTGAGCCACTGCACGCAGCCTATTTCCCCATCTTTTGTTCCTTTATGTTGTTATCCCAATTATAAATAATTTGCGTCTTTTAGTACAGGAAGATATAAATGCAAATGTACAAAAAAGGAAGAGGGAAAGATGGACCAAGTTCACCCATAAGGTACGTACAAGGTCCACAGCTCTGTAGGAAGGGGAGACACCCAGTAGGCAGAGGACCTGAGGCACCATAGGACTGAGTACATTTTCCATTGCTTAATTATGTCTGAGATACTCCCTCTTAAAATAAATCTATGTTCTGTGAAATAGTCCGTATAAAAACATGAAGCCTTGGATAGGTCAGTCATAGCAGGTCAGTCTTGAATGGAACTCAATTTGACAAGCACCGAGTGAGAATATAATTCCACTGCAAACTCTTTTATTTCCACATCATATCAGATCTCATTCTGCTTCAGTAGAGTTACATCTTAAGTATGACTATTAATAATAATTTCATTAATGTGAAAATCTAGGAAAGCCCACATAAAATGCCAACGTAATTGCTGGCTATCAAGATATTTAGGCAGATTCCAACCCCAATGTTTCAATGATAACAAAACCTCAAAATATGAAACATCAAATTCATTAACTAATATTACTAAGTCACCTCTTCCATCACATGAGATCTGTTTTATTCATTGTTTCCTATTGGGGAAAAAAGAATCCTCCCACTTCATGCCTTTTTTCCCCCCTGATGACAGGAATGAGTATTCATTGCCTCTTTAAGAAGCCAATGCAAAAAAAAAAAAAAAAAAAGGTAGAAAAAGCACTAGCCCGGGAGCTAGGATCACCAGTTCTAGTCCCTGAGTTGCCTTCCTAGGGTGCCTAAGTCAGTACCATAACCTGTTTTTCTAATCTGCGTAACACAGGAATAGAGTATATGATTTCCAAAGGCACTTTCACCTCTGTGACTGAGCCTCTAAGAAAGGCAAACCTTTTCACTTTGTAATTATGACTTTTTTTTTTTTTTTTTGAGAGAGTCTCACTCTGTTGCCCAGGCTGGAGTGCAGTGGCACAATCTTGGCTCACTGCAACCTCCCCCTCCTGGGTTTAAGCAATTCTCCTGCCTCCACCTCCTGAGTAGCTGGGACTACAGGTATACGCCACCAGAATTAGCCAGCTAATTTCTTTTGTATTTTAGCAGAGATGAGGTTTCACCATGTTACTCAGGCTGGTCTCGAACTCCTGAGCTCAGGCAATCTGCCCGCCTTGGCCTCCCAAAGTGTTAGGCTTACAGGCATGAGCCACCGCAAGATGGAATTAATAACATGAATGGGAAACAATTTTTTTTTTTAAAGCCAGGGACTTGCTATGTTGCCCCAGCTGGTCTTGAACTTCTGAACTCAAGTGATCCTCTCATCTCAGCCTCCCAAATAGCTGAGATGACAGGCACACACCACTGCACCTGGCTAAAGACTATAATTCTTGAAGAATAAAAGTACTGCACTTCACCTCTATCTCCTGGTATCTCTTCAATTCAAACACTCCGTAAATGACTACAGTGTTTTATTTAAACCCTTATGTTGAACTTCTTGAAGGCTTGCTTTGGTTCTTCCTTATTGATATGTTTTTGAGCATAACATTTTGAAGAAGCAAAATGTGAAAAGATTAATTTGCTTTCCAGATGATTTTTAGTTCTCGAAGGCAATGCAACTGTTCTTATCCATTTCTGCCTCATAGTACCTTAAACTTCAGAGATGCTCACCAGTACAGTTTTTACATGGATTTATCTTAGGTTTCATCAGGTGGATGTACTAAAAAAAATCAGAACGTAAGAGCCAATGCAGTGCAGGTTCTTTGACTATCCTTGTTAAGTGTTAACGGTTTTCTCATCCTTCACAAATGTTTTTTCCCAACATAAAACACCATTATCTTTCCTCACAATTTTCTACGTAGTTTGATTCCCATGAAGAGGTTATAATTTCTAAAGGAAACATGGCTACTATACTATCAGAGTAAATCTTTTTTTTTTTTTTTTTTTTTTTTT